ACTTCCCAGGTTCAAGCCTCAGCCTCCCAAGTAGCTGGGACTACAGGCGTATGCCACCACACCTGGCCAATTTTTATATTTTTAGTAGAGATGGGGTTTTGCCATATTGGCCAGGCTGGTCTTGAACTCCTGCAGCCTCTGCCTCCTGGGTTCACACTCAGGTGATATGTCCACCTCGGCCTCCCAAAGTGCTGGGGTTACAGGCATGGGCCACCGCACCCGGCCAAGAAAGGGCTACTTTAAATAGGGTACTTTGGGAAGGCTTCTCTCAGAGGACATTTGAACTGAACTACAAGTGAAGAGAGTGAGGCAGCCATGCAATTATCTGGAGGATGCACATTCCAGGCAGAGGGAACGGCCGGTGCAAAGCCCTGCTGCAGGAACAAGCTGGTGTGTTGAAAGAAGGGAAATAAAGCCAGCAGGGCTTGAGAGTGGTGACAAGAGGAAGAATGGTAGACAAGGACTGAGAGGTCAGCTGAGGCCACCACCAAGGGCCTCCTAAGCCATAGGAAAGATCTTAGGTTTCATTCTAAGTAGGATAAGCCTTTGAAGGTTTTAAGCAGAGTAATGACATTATCTGGTTTACAAGTGAAGATCATTCAGCCAGCTGTATAGAGAATGCATCACAGACAGGGCCACTTTCTTCATTAGCACCACGGAAATAATGCTTGTGGCTCATGAGCTTCTCAGGGGCTAGGAAAAGGTCGGGGACAGGGATAAAGGGAAAAAAGTTCCACAATGCCAAGAGAAAACTACAAAGTTGGAATGAATAAATGTTTAATTAAGCACCTTGAAAATGTAACATCCTGACAACTGCATTAATCATTAAATTCAGTATTCATAAGCAATCGAATTACATTTGGAAATTAGATTTTCTCAAATCACAAATATCCCCAAGTATACAATGAATGCCAAGAAATCAAGTGAATTATAACTGTGAGTTTCCCTGAAGCCAAATAATTCCAAAAGAATAAAAAAAACTTTCAATTTTTTTTAACAACTTGAAAAAAACTTTTTTTAACTTAATGTGAGATGAAGATACCAAAAAAATGGGTTAGGCGCTGTAATCTCAGCACTTAAGGCCAAAACAGGAGGATTGCTTGAGGCCAGGAGTTCAAGACCAGCCTGGGCAACAGCAAGACCCTGTCTCTACAAAACATTTTAAAACAGGCCAGGCACAGGGGCTCACACCTGTAATCCCAGTACTTTGGGAGACCAAGGTGAGCAGATCACCTGAGGTCAAGAGTTTGAGACCAGCCTGGCTAACATGGCAAAATCCATGTTTACTAAAAAATACAAAAATTAGTTGGGCAAGGTAGCATGTGCCTGTAGTCCCAGCTACTTGGGAGGCTGAGATGGGAGAATCACTTGAAGCCAGGAGCAGGAGGTTGCAGTGAGCCAAGATCAAAGCACTGCACTCCAGCCTGGGTGACAGAGCAAGACTCCCTCACAAAAGGAAAAAAAAAAAAAAAAAATCCCACGGGAACTAGATTCTTTAAAAACATTTGCCTAGCATAGTTAGTGAGTCCTAGTGAGCCCACAGAGGTGTCTGGGGAAGAAATGCTAGTGGCTTGGGTCAGAGCTATTCAGGCTTATGGCCTATGAGTGTGAACACTGTCCAGGGCACCCTTAAAAAGGCCTCTCTAGGGAGAGGACAACTGAACCGAGACTTGAATGACAAGTAGGCATAAGCCATGCCAAGAGTCCAGGAGAAGATGTTCTGGGCAGAAGCTTTGTGCTGGGAGTGGCTTGTTGGATTTTTTTTTTTTTTTTTTTTTTTGAGACAAAGCCTCACTCTGTTGCCCAGCTGGAGTGCGGTGGCGCAATCTTGGCTCACTGCAACCTCCGCCTCCCAGGTTCAAACGATTCTCCTGCCTCAGCCTCCTGAGTAGCTGGGATTGGATTTTTTTTTTTTTTTGAGACAAAGCCTCACTCTGTTGCCCAGCTGGAGTGCGGTGGCGCAATCTTGGCTCACTGCAACCTCCGCCTCCCAGGTTCAAACGATTCTCCTGCCTCAGCCTCCTGAGTAGCTGGGATTGGATTTTTTTTTTTTTTGAGACAAAGCCTCGCTCTGTCACCCAGGCTGGAGTGCGGTGGCGCAATCTTGGCTCACTGCAACCTCCGCCTCCCAGGTTCAAGCCATTCTCCTGCCTCAGCCTCCTGAGTAGCTAGGATTACAGGCACACGCCACCACACCCAGCTAATTTTTTTTTTTTTTTTTTTTTTAAGTAAAGACAGGGTTTCACCATGTTGGCCAAGCTGGTCTCCAACGTCTGACTTCGTGATCCACCCGCTTTGCCCACCTTGGCCTCCCAAAGTGCTGGGATTACAGGTGTGAACCTCCACACCTGGCGGCTTGTTGGATTTTTAATAAGAGTAACCGTTACTTAGGCTGGACTGAAGTTGGAGCTGGGTGGTTAACAGGAGACAAAGCATAGAGAGTTTGGAAGACAGCGTTTTCATCCTGAGAAGTGACCTGATCAAATGTGTTTTGATTATTACTGGACACCTCCGCTGTCCAGTAATACAGTAGCCACTTGTCACAGGGGCTCAGGAGCACCCAACGGTGGCTATCAAGACAACTAAACTGCTCTTTTCTTTTTGGAGACAGTCTGTCTCTATCACCAGGCTGGAATGCAGTAGCACGATCCTGGCTCACTGCAACTTCCATTTTCCGGTTTCACGCAATTCTCCTGCCTCAGCCTCCCGAGTAGCTGGAACTACAGGCATGCACCACCACCCCCAGCTAATTTTTTTTGTATTTTTAGTAGACATGGGGTTTCACCATGTTGGCCAGGATGGCTTTGATCTCCTGACCTTGTGATCCACCTGCCTCAGCCTCCCAAAGTGCTGGGATTACAGGTGTGGGCCACTGCATCTGGCCCCCTGAACTTTTTTTTTTTTTAATTTAATTTTAATTTTTAGAGACAGGGTCTCACTCTGACACGCAGGCTGGAGTGCAGTGGCTAAACATCCTGGGCTCAAGTGATCCTCCTGCCTCAGTTTCATAGGTAACAGAGTACAAGTGTGCACTATCACACCTGGCTGATTCTTTTATGTTGCCCATGCTGATCTTGAACTCCTGGCCTCAAGAAATCCTCCATGCCCAGACTCTAAAATTTCATTTTTAAACAAAGTAAAATTTAAATTAAAAAAAAAAAAGAAAAAGATATGGCCGGGTGCAGTGGCTCACGCCTGTAATCCCAGCACTCTGGAAGGCCAAGGTGGGCGGATCACTTGAGGTCAGGAGTTCAAGACCAGCCCGGCCAACATGGTGAAACCCTGTCTCTACAAAAAATACACAAACACAAATTAGCTGGTTGTGGTGGTGCACGCCTGTAATCCCAGCTACTCAGGACACAGGCAGGAGAATCGCTTGAAGCCGGGAGGTGGAAGTTGCAGTGCGTCGAGATCGCACCACTGCACTTCAGCCTGGGTGAGCGAGACTCCATCTCAATTAAAAAAAAAAAAAAAAAAAAAAAAAAAAAAAAAAAAAAAAGAAAAAGAAAAATCAAAACGGCAGATATCACTTTTTCTGGTTTCACTGCCGGGATCCCCACTGTTGCCCGGAGTCGNAAAAAAAAAAAAAAAAAAAATTGAGCTCATGGAAGACTCTGAAGTACGTTGAGAATAGTAGGAATGTGTGAATCTACATTTTCAACTGCAAACCTTATGAAACCTAAGAAACCAGATCGACTATTTTCGAAGAAAATGTATTCACATGCCCGATGACAGATGTGCGGTTGAGTGTACAACACACAAGCAATCTGAATGTTTTTTCACTGGGTAAAAGAATGCAACATACTGTGTGTTACTGGCTCAGAGCTGTGGCTCACGCCTGTAATTCCTGCACTTTGGGAGGCTGAGGCGGGCGGATCACTTGAGGTCAGGGGTTCGAGACCAGTCTGACCAACATGGAGAAACTCCGTCTCTACTAAAAAACAAAAATTACCAAGGCATGGTGGTGTAATCCCAACTAGTCCGGGGTGGCTGAGGCAGGAGAGTCGCTTGAACCCGGGAGGTGGAGGTTGCAGTGAGCTAAGATCGAGCCACTGCACTCCAGCCTGGGCCACACAGCGATACTCCGTTTTTTTTTTTTGTTGTTGTTGTTGTTTTTTAACTGGCTTCCAAAAAATGTAAAATTAGGTGCGCGGCAGGCATTATTTTTCCACTGGGCAGAGCTGATTTCCCGTGGGGCAGAGACTCCGCAACCTGGAGTCTCCCAAGCCGGGGCCGACGGCCCGGGGGGATGCGGCGGAGAGAAGTTTCTGGATGTATTATGTGGTCATGAGTCATGACAGGGAATTTCCACGGCGCCGTTCAATGGGAAGACGCTGCCTCGAGCGCTGAATAGCAGAGCACCAACTCGAACCCTGGTCTGTCCCCTAACTGGAACTCCCATTTTCAGTACCGTCCGCTTGAAACCTCCCAAGAGCCCACCAGGGGGCGTGAAAGGGCTTCCAACCCCTCGGGGGCAAGAGCGGGATCCAAACTCGGCCGGACTCCCGAGGTCCGAGCGCGCCGCGTGACTGCCACTCCGAACGTTCACAACGTTCACAACGGACACCCGGGCCGCTGCACCTCGAGGTCAGGAGCCAGCCACTCAGAAAAGCTCCAGCCAACGCTCACCTGTTGACAGACGCTGAGGCCACAAACGCTCCTCCTCTCTCTTCACACTCCCCAGCACTGCGGTGACGCCCGACTTCCGCTTCTCTCCAGCGAATCCCCAGCTGAGCCTCCTTAGGCTCCCGCTTTCACTACCAATCCAGCCAATCAACTCTCAAAAAACCCTCTTTATCTCCGCCCCACTCCCTCCTGCCAATCACTGAGGGTGCGAGCACCGCCCTTCCCGCCGTCTTTAGCGAGCGCCGCGCGCCACCGCTCGGCAGTTGGCGGCGCTGCGCGCTACTGGATACATATCCCGGAATAGCGAGGCGAGAGGCGGGCACGCCGGTACGGGAACCCTCAGGATTGGACAGCAGGAGGCCGGCGCTCTGACTCCGTCCACTCCTGCCGTTGACCTCCTAGTCGGAGACGCTGGGGATTGGTTCCCAGAGGACACGCTAAGAAGACTGGAGGTGGTCCCGCCCTCCTCACGCTCCGTGGAGAGGGAGCTCCACTGATTGGTCCGAGGAGTCTGGGCGCGCGCCGAGCGGCGCTCCAGGATTGGCTGAGAGGGTGCGCGCGCCGCCAGGGAGCGTTGGCGGTGATTGGTCAGAGGGCGGAGGCCGCCTATTTGAAGGCGGCGCGCGTACGAGGTGCGCACTTCTGTCTGCGGAGAGAAGAGACTGGAGCGGACTCTGTCAACACTACCCCGTTGATCACGCCACCGGACCCAGACGCGGCCTCGGTCACAGCCCCTGCCCCTTCCCCTGTCCCTGTCCCTGCTGCGGCGCGGTGAGGCGAGGCGATGGCCAAGGTGTCCGTGTTGAATGTGGCGGTACTGGAGAACCCGAGCCCTTTCTACAGCCCCTTCCGGTTCGAGATCAGCTTCGAGTGCAGTGAAGCCCTGGCGGACGGTGAGGCTGGGCTTGTGCGGGTAATCCCCACCCCCGGGCCGACCCCGGCCTCCCCGCGGAAAACTGCTCCCATGGCCAACTTGATCTCCCCCATGAAACCCCTCGTCCTCCCTCTCCGCCAACCCCGATCTCCCCCAGACCGCCAGTCAACCCGATGTCCGGGTGGAGACCCCCCCCCTCGCAGCCACCAGCCAACTCGGACCTCCCCGGGACTTCCTCCCCCACTGCCCGCCTTGACCTCCCGGGTGGAGGCTTTCCGCTAGCCAACTCGGACATCCCAGTGATCTCCTTCGCCACTGCCCGCCCCGACCTCCCCATAGAGATTAATGCCCCCCGCCCAGGCCCCATTTCCAGCGTGGGGAGCCCCATCCATCTTTTTTCTTTGGAGCTCTTCCGAGGTACCCATTTTCATGGAGAGAGCTTCTCGGCCTCCATTTCTTAACCCACGGAGATCTTCAGCCACCGTGGCTTCCCTGTGGCAAGACCCCTGTTTCAGCCACCCACCGATTTTTGCCCACTTAGACACTTTCCTGTAGTGAGATACTCCCATCTCCCTTTTTCCCTCTGAAGACCCCACTCTGCAGCCCCTTCCCATTTTCCCCGGGGGAAATCCCAGCCATTTTCTATTTTCCCTGTGGAGACCTCTCCCCCAACTCCCTTCTCCCCTCACCGTGAAGACCCTCCCCTCCAGTAACCTTTTTTCCCTATGAAAACCCGTCAAGACCGCTCTCTCCACATCTTCCCATCTGTCTCCCAGCTATCCCCTCCCCAACCTGCCGATATTTCAACAACCCCACGCCCACCAATTGCTGCTAGTTTTCTACCCCAATGCACATACCCTGGAACCTGATTTCCCTTCTTCATTGGGGCCCAAACCCCTATCCTTGAGCTCCCCCTGGGAAGGATGCTACGGTTTGCAGTGACTTGGTCTCCCCAGCTCCCCTTCCCCACCCTCTTCTGTAGGCTTGGATAAACACACAGATCCGAGGGGTGGCACAGCCAGGCAGGCATTAGCTAGTTCCCCAGGTTTGCCCGCCCATTTCCAGCTGACTAACTGCAGCAATTCTTCGCTTTTTTTTTTCTTTTCTTTTTTTTTTTTTTTGAAAGAGTCTTGTTCTGTTGCCCAGGCTGGAGTGCAATGGTGCGATCTCGGCTT